ACCCTAACTTAACTCTGGTGCTGTGTCACATATAGAAATTTTTTGATCTTTGCAACCATAGTAAAACAAAGACTTATATTTTTGATATTATTTTATATATTTAAATGCCATTTAACAAAGAAAAATCAACCAAAAAAATGAGTTCGCGTGTCACCTCTGACACGCGTGTCATAGGATCGCCGTCACTGCTCTATGGGGTGGATTCAGATCAGCACCCAGATGCAAGCAGCTTTTGAAAACCACAAGCGCTGCAGGAGGACTGTTCCCACGGGTCGTGGCTTCCTGGAGAAGGAGGGCCCGGGATTTGAGGGCCCCATTCACTCCCCGGGGAGACTAGCCCGCCCCTTACCTCCCAGGTGACCTTGCTCTCTCTGGGACTATTTCTGCACCATTGAAGTGAATGGGGGTCCATTAGGACACGGTTCTTGAACTTTGGGGGATCATGTTCCCTTTGAGAATCAAATAAAAACATTTTCACCAGAAGAAATATACAAAACGTCACAAATTGGCACTCTGGGACCCTCTGACCCGCCCATGGAACTCTAGGCTACGGACCTAGTGGGGTCGTCATACAGAACACATCCTGTGTGACTTTGGGCATGGCATGGCCCTCTCTGGGCCTTATCTCGAAACAGCAAGGATGGACCGGCTCCCGGCACAATTTTTTATTTAACACCGATGTAGGATAGATGCCCTTACCCCCATTTTCAAGAAGGGGAAAGTGAGGCCCATGGGCACAAAGTCACAAAATACCTAATTGTGAAGTCTGTTCCCTTTCCAGTCTCCCATGTTCCCTGGTGTTAACGGCCACGGCTCCTCCTACTATCGTTTCTGGAACACTCGGTGTGTCCAGCTGCTCTGCTACTTGTTTTCCCTTCTCTCATCCCCAAGGCCCCACAACTCCAGACACTCACACGGTCAGCCCCACTTTACAGATGAGGAAACTGAGGCACAGAGGTGCAAGGCCTGGAGCCAGCGCAGTCTCGTGTTTTCCGTGTCGAACAATGAATGACCCAGCTTATTGCTAAATCTGTGCCCAAACCCGGATTTCCGGGTCTAATCCAGCCCCAGTTAAGGAGGGGGCAGTGTCAAACTTGACAAAATGTCTTCAATTATTTTTTAATGTATTTTTATTGATTTCAGAGAAAGGGAAAGGGAGAGGAGAGAAACATCAATGATGAGAGAGAATCGTTGATCGGCCGCCTCCTGCACGCCCCCTACTGGGGATCGAGCTGGCAACCCGGGTACATGCCCTTGACCAGGAATTGAACCTTGACCTCCTGGTTTCACAGGTTGACGCTCAAACACTGAGCCACACCGGCCGGGCTGTCTTCAATTACTTTTAAGGTCAAGACGCTTTATTCAACGTGGGCGCTTACGGCAGCTCAGACCAACAGCTGAGAAAGTGGTGCCATGCTGAGGCGCCCTGGGGACGCCTTTAATGAAGAGAGCCGTGTCGCAGGGGGGCACACACATGGCTACTGCTGGTTAGAAACGGCCTCGCTCAAGGAGGTGAACAGGCGCCCCTCCCGCCCGCCACCCACGGCGGTGGCACCGCTGACTAGCTGAGCACACCCTTCCTTCCCCAGGAGAGGAGGTGGTTTGGCCGGGCAGTGCCAGCCGGGCCCAGCGGCATCTCCTTCAGAGCCGCCAGCTCCGACTCCTGCCGGGAGAGAGCAGTGATGGCTGGGCCTGGGACGGTGCCTCTGAAGTGGCAAGGCTGGAGCGGGCCCTAGAGGGGCTGGCAGGGGTCTACCTGCGCCCAGCAGGGAGCTTGTCTTTCCAGAAGGTTCCAGGTCGGGAGCTGGAGCCAACGCCCCACTCGCTCTGTTTTCCTGCGTGGGAAGCTGCTGAGCATGAGTTCTGGGCCGGGTGGGGTCTGGGCGGGCTAGACATGCCCACCCGGTCCTGCCTCCAGGAGCTGACGGTCCAGCAGGCAGCTGGCAGCATGGGCAGCAATGATCCTGGGTGCCCAGCACAGGGATGGGACCCGGCAGCAGGTGGGGTGGGGGTCAGGGGCAGGGGGACGGAAGGCTTTGGAGAGAGCAGAACCTCAGCAGGAGTTCAGCAAGGGAAGGGGGGACAAGGAGGCCCTGGGCCCCCGAGGGCAGGCCCAGTGGTTCTGGTGGCTGAGGGGCCGGAGGAGGGACAGCGAGCCAGGAGCCCGCCTGCCGGTGAAGTGTCTGCTGCGGGTCGGGTCGGCACCAGGCGGCTGGCCAGCAGAGAGCAACCCTGTGCTCAGGTCAGGATCCTTTCCCGTTCCCGTGTGCTTAGTGCTCAAAGGAAACACTCAGAGGCAGAGGCTCAGGCTGGGGAGCAACTTCAGGCAGCACAGCCGGGGCACAGCTCCCTCTGGGAGGCGGGCATGGAGGCCTGGGGTTGGGGCTGGGCCTGGGGCTGGGGCTGGGGCAGGACTGGAAGGAAGCGGGTGCAGGGGGAGGGGAGGAGGGGCAAAGAGCCCAGAGCATCTCCGAGGTCCCCCAAGGCTGGAGCCGGGTGAGGGAGGGGGGCCCAGACCCTGGTAGCCCCTCCGAGGACTTCCAATTTGATTTCTGCCAACGAAAGTCACCATACGGTCTGCTTGTTTTATTTTCTTTAAATCTACCCTTTTTTAAAAATTTCTTCCTCGTTTACTGACTTATTTTTTATTAGTTGAATGTTCCTACTACTGGCTTGTGAACTATAACTTCTTTATTTTTTTATTGTTGCTGTAGAGGTTACAATATAAACACTTAACTTACCACTGTCTATCTTCAAATAATAGCATGCACCTTTGTCTACAGCAGCGGTTCTCAACCTGTGGGTCGCGACCCCTTTGGGGGTCGAACGACCTTTTCACAGGGGTTGCCTAAGACCTTCGGAAAACACATATATAATTACATATTGTTTTTGTAGTTAATCACTATGCTTTAATTATGTTCAATTTGTAGCAATGAAATTGGGGGTCACCACAACATGAGGAACTGTGTTACAGGGTTGCGGCATTAGGAAGGTTAACCACTGGTCTATAGTATAAAATAGTTTCTCCTCCTGCCTTTGTGCCACTGTTTTCACCTGTAAATAATTTGCTCCTTTATACGTTGTCCTCAAATTCATCCCTGTGGTAGCATATTGCCGAATTCCCTTTTTAAAAAGCTGGTTAATATTCCATTGTATGCTCTCACCACACTTGGCTTGTCCATTCATCTGCTGATGGACACGTGGGTGCCCTCCCCTTTCTGGCTGCTGTGGAAAATGCTGCTGTGAACGTGGGTGTACAAATACCTCTTCGAGGCCCTACTTTCCATTCTTTTGGGGAGAGGCCCAGACGTGCAATGGCTGGAATTCCATTTTTAAGGTTTGAGGAGCCACCACACTGCTTTCTACAGTGGCTGCGCGTTTTCCCTCCCACCACCAATGCACAAGGGTTCCCGTGTCTCCACTCCCCCGACAGCCCTTGCTCTGTGGGCTTTTTGCTAGTGGCCATTCTAATGAGGGGGAGGTGGCGTTTCATTTGGTTTGCATTTCCCTAACGACTGGTGTCGCTGAGCGTCTTGTCTCGTGTCTCTCGTGTCTGTTACCGTCACTCGCCCACTTCTGAATCTGGTGACCTTTCTGTTGGTGAGCTTTAGGAGTTCTCCTTTTGAGTCTTTTGTGTGGTCCAAACTTCCTCAGGCTTGTTATTCTCTTCCCTCTGAAGGAAATCCCTTTCACCTTTCCTCTGACGACAGATTCTTTCAGTTTTGGGAAGAAAAGCCTTTGTTTCCACCCTCATTTTTTAAGGCATTTTTTTTAAAGAACAGTTCTAGGCTCACAGCAAAGTTGAGGGGAAGATACAGAGATCTCCCATGTCCCGCGTACCCACCCCCAGGCACAGCCTCCCCTGTAATCACCCCACACACACACTAGATGGAGCATTAGTTACATGGAGCCTGCATAGACCCATCATCACCATCCCAAGTCCATAGCTGACATCGGGGTTCACTCTCGGAGTGAGTGGCACGTTCTGTGGTTTGGACAAACATGTAATGAAGTACGTCCACCGTTACCGGGTCAGACGAGTGGTTTCACTGCCTTGAAAATCCTCCGTGCTCCGCCTGCTCCTCCCTCCCCTTAACCCCAATCCCTGGCAGCCCCTGACCTTGGTACTGTCCCCCTAGCTTTGCCTTTTCCAGAAGGCCATGTATTTGGAATCGTACACTCCGTGGCCTTTCACTTAGTCGTATGCACTTAAGCTTCCTGCACAGAAAGATTTTAAGCAGAGTGACCTACTCTAATTGAAGTGATTACAGGTCCACCTGGCAGCCCTGGGGAGCATGCATTAGAAGGGGCGGTGGGGTGAAGGCAGGCAGGAGGCAGGTGCAGAAATCCATGCCAGGGATGGTCCTGCCTTGAACCTAGAGAAGAAGAGGAAGGGACAGACACACTGACAAGACGGACTGGTAGATGGACAGGGTGGGGGACCCTGACCTATTCCTTCTGCGAGGCTGCCACCGTGTGGCGATCAAGGGAATGACAGCCGACTGGACTACCCTTGCCAGGCTCCACCACCCGTTCATGCATATGAGAAGTATTCCTGGTGCACCTACTACGTGCGTGGCCCTGGGGCAAGCTCTGTGTGGGATACGAGGCAATCTGAGGGGTGGCAGTGAGGAGAGAATACTGCAATAGACAAAATGTAGGTTTTAATTCTGATTCCAAGACATGCTACCATGGTAGCACAGGCTACAGCCCAAGGAGAGACGGGCCAACGTTTGTGGGCCTTGGGGGTTCTGTCTGGGCCCTGGGTGGCGGGGCAGTGCAGGAGCCCCTGGAGGTGCTGTTTACTGCGACACATGTCCCTGCTGCCCATCGCTGTCCCTCTCCACTGTCATTGTGTCTGAATGTGGTCTTTTCTCTTTCCTATCCCCTCTGTCTCTCTATTGGTCCCTTTTTAACCTTTGGGGCACTTTCTCCCTCCCTCCCTTGTTCCCTCTTTCCTCTCTCTCTTTCATCCCCCTCTCACGTCACCTCTGCTCTCTCTTCCTGTCTCTCCATTCCTTCCCTCTTCCTGTCTGTCTCTGTGACTGTCTGCCCCCTACTGTCCCCCCCCTTCTCTGCTGTCCTCTGTTCCATCTCTGCCCACCCCTCTGTTCCTTCTACCTTCCCCACCGCCCCTCTCTCTGGCTGTGTCTCTCCTCACCAGCCTGTCCAAAGCGGCCGACCTGGACCATCACTGGGTGGCCAAGGCCTGGCTGAATGACATCGGCCTGTCCCAGTACTCCCAGGCCTTCCAAAACCACCTGGTCGATGGGCGGATGCTGAACTCCCTGATGAAGCGGGACCTGGAGAAGCACCTGAATGTGTCCAAGAAGTTCCACCAGGTCAGCATCCTGCTGGGGATCGAGCTGCTGTACCAAGTGAACTTCAGCAGGGAGGTGAGAAGCAGGCTGTGGGTGCAGGCACCTGCCATCACCTTACTTCCCCCTCTGGCAGTCAATGTTCGCCCATCCAACCACCTTCCCATCCATCCACCCATCCACCCATCCACCTCCACCCATCGCACCTGAATGTGTCCAAGAAGTTCCACCAGGTCAGCATCCTGCTGGGGATCGAGCTGCTGTACCAAGTGAACTTCAGCAGGGAGGTGAGAAGCAGGCTGTGGGTGCAGGCACCTGCCCTCCCCTTACTTCCCCCTCTGGCAGTCAATGTTCGCCCATCCAACCACCTTCCCATCCATCCACCCATCCACCCATCCACCCATCCACCCACCCACCCATCCACCCATCCACTCATCCATCCATCCAGGTATCCATCTCTTCCTCTCCATCCCTCCTTCCAGCAACTGCCTATAGCAGTGATGGCGACCCTTTTGAGCTCGGCGTGTCAGCATTTTGAAAAACCCTAACTTAACTCTGGTGCCGTGTCACATATAGAAATTTTTTGATATTTGCAACCATAGTAAAACAAAGACATATTTTTGATATTTATTTTATATATTTAAATGCCATTTAACAAAGAAAAAGCAACCAAAACAATGAGTTCGCGTGTCATAGGTGTCAGAGGTTCGCCGTCACTGGCCTATAGTAGGGGCAGGCCCTGTGCTCAATTCAAGGGAAACAGTGAGCCCTCATCCCCAAGAACTCATTCCTGTCCTCACCCAGGCCACTGAGGGCCCTGTGAGCACTGTGGACCCTTATTCCCCATGTGACCTCAGCCCGCTCCCCTGTCCCCCAAACTGACCCTCTGTCTCCCTCCCCACAGGCCCTCCAGGAGCGCCGGGCCCGCTGCGAGACACAGAACACAGACCCTGTCGTCTGGACCAACCAGCGGGTGCTCAAGTGGGTGCGAGACATTGACCTGAAGGTGAGGGGCGACGGCGGGTGTGGGGGCGACTCAGGCAGATGCACGTTTGTGTGCCGACCAACATGTTTGTGTGAGCGGGGGCATCGTTACCCAGGCTGGCAAGAACAAGCTGCCTCCTGTCACTCAAGAGGAGGGAACTACAAACCCCGCCCCCACAATGGGCCCCAGTGCCGATGCCCTCCTCACAGTGGGTGAGGGATGCCAGCCATCATCACTCTAGAGCAGGCGCGGGTTGACTCCAGGCCCATCGTCTCACTCGAGTCCGCGTGGGCTGCCTGCGCGGTCTGAGAGGGTCAGTGACAGAATGGCCTCGGCCTCTGCCCTGCTGGCCCTAAAGAGGGAGCGTGGGCTTCCCTCAGTGTGAACTGACTGGTCCCCAAGGGGCCACGCCACTGGGAGCTAGGAGCTAGGCCCCCTCAGCAGCAGCCTAAGCAGCCTCGTGCCTCGCCCCCAGGAGTATGCGGACAACCTGACCAACAGCGGGGTCCACGGCGCCGTGCTGGTGCTGGAGCCCACGTTTACTGCCGAGGCCATGGCCACCGCCCTGGGCATCCCCAGCGGGAAGCACATCCTCCGGAGACACCTGGCGGAGGAGATGAGCGCCATCTTCCCCCCGGCCACGTGAGTGCGGGCAGCCTCGCCCCAGGGTCCCCATCCAGGCCCTCACTCACGGGGTCCCGCCTGCCCCTGCAACAGGGCGGTTGGTCTCCTTTCATAGGGCTGGGAACTGGGGCTCAGAGAAGCGAAGTGCTTTAGCCCAAATGTCATGGACTAGAAAGAGGTGGAGTAAAGTGCGTGGGTGCATCCCCACGGCCCCCCGCATTCGGAACGGGGAGAAGGACAGAGAGTGTGAGCAGAGGCCCTAGGAGGGGGTCTCAGCTGGGGACGATTCGCACCGGCCTCAGAGGTCGACGCGGCCATTCCAGGCAGGGGTGCCTGTGGGGTCAAAGGCTTGGAGAAGGGGCTGGGCATCCGAAGGGTGTTCATGGTCCAGGTGATCAGACCCGGCCAGCCCACCTACCCCGTCTCCTCATCAGAAAAGTGACCAAGAACAAACACCCAGACGGGCAGGCTAGCGCCTCCTAGTGGATGCTCCCCGCAGGTGACTGCAGCAGGTCAGACCCTTCACGGAGCAGTGCAGTCTGACGAAGTGGCTGCAAATGCTCACTAGGCCGCGTCAAGCCTCCAAAGACCTCCGTCTGGTGCTGGTTTGGATGAGGAAACGGGCCCAGCGAGGTCATCGGCAGCACAAGGGCACAGCCAGGGGACTCGGACCAGGCCGGTGCCCCTCACAGCCCCTGCTGGTCACAGTCAGATGTAATCATAGCCGTCCATCCCGGTGTGCCAGCCACCGTGGGCCTCTGTGTGCGTCATCTCATTCGGCCCCAGGACGCCCTTATGGGAGAAGTGCTGCGATGACCCCTCACAGAGCACATGGCCCCGGGGACACCGCTGCTAAGGGCTGACCAGCCACGCGTGAGCGTGAGTGTGTCCGGGAGCCGGAGCTGACCAGATCCCCCCCACACACACACACTCACTTGGAATGCGTCTCTCCCCAGCTCCACGGGCACCCGGGAGGCTGAGCGCTTCGGAACGCCCCCCGGGCGGGCCCCCGGCACCCCCCGGGCGGGGAAGGAGGAGAACAGCAGTGGCATCAGGCACAAGGCTGGCCGGGTAAGTGGCCTCTGGTTCACTGAGTCCTGCCGCCTGGGAAGGTCTTTTTGTCCAGGCCAGCGTGGCCCTGCCCAGCTCCCGTGTTGGCCTGTGGGGGCCACTGGGCCGGTCACAGGCGCAGCAAGGACAGAGGCCCCGGAAGTCGCCCCCAAGGGACCTGTGTGATGCAGGAGCCCCACGAGGGTTAAGGGAGCGGCTCCACCTGCAGGTCTCAGCCGCCGCAGCGTCACCTGGGCAGCTGCTTATCATACAAAGTCTGGGACCCACCTGGACTCCTGAAGCAGAGGGCCTCTGGGAGCCACTGGCTTGGGTTGGGGTTTGAGCTCCTGTGGCCTGGCCAGGCGCAGCAGGGGAGCCTCTGATGTGAGCAAACGTGTGCGGTTTGGGGCTGATCACACACGCAGCCCGCACAGTCCTCGGTGGAGGTGGAGGCACAAGGGGCAGAAGCAACGACCCCAAAATCCTTCCATTCGCTCAGTGAACCCTGGGGGCGCCAACAGCCTTCCAGGCACCTTCCTACTAGTAAACGTGGGGGGAGAAGCTTGAATCAATGGCCACCTTTCTCCTAAGGTGCTCTCGGCCCAGAGCGAGCATTCTCATGAAGGGTGACTCCCCCAAAAGGGGGGAAACTGGCTTGGAAAACGCCTCCCTCCTTTTATGTCACTAGCAGAGTGTATCCGCGGTTAATTTCATGGCCAGAGTGTGATGAGGGGAACATGTCTAAAAGGCTTTCTTTACGGGGAGAAAAATGGAAACAGATAGGATTTGCTATCCCTATTTTGTAACTGAGAAAACTGAGTCTCAGAGAGGGCACGTGACTTGTCCCAGGTCACACAGCTGGGAAGCGGCAGAGCAGGGATCTGAAGCCTGGCGTGAGACTCTCTGACACCCACACGTTTTCCGTCACGTGAGGCAGCGCTAGAATCTCTCTCCTTGACTTGGGGATGAGGTCAGACCTCATGCGCATGCTCGGACGGCCTCTCCTCCGTTACGCCTTCCTCCCACTGAGGAGGAAGATGGGAGATTTGTGGATAATCAGAAAGACTACGTCTGTCCTCACCCTTGGTAACAACTGGTTCCTTCCAGTTGGGAACACAAAGCTCTCTCCTAATGTTAACTCACAAATTCCTCTCAGTTCCCTGAGCAGTGGAGTATTATTGCTAACTAGAGGCACGTGCACCAGTGGGGTCCCTCGGCCTGGTCTGCGGGATTGGGCTGAAACCAGCTCTTCGTCATACTCCGAGGGGTCCCGGATTGCAAGAAGGCGTAAGCCAGGCCAGGGGACCCCACCGGTGCACGTGCACGATCAGGATGGGGAGGGACCTCGGGAGGGCTCCAGGGCATGTCCAGCCCATCTCTCTCAGTCTGCAGCCGCAAGCAAACCTACTGATTGGAGCATCTGCCCCCTGCTGGTCAGTGCATGTCATAGTGAGCAGTTGAGCAGCCTTAGCATATCATTAGCATATTACACTTTGATTGGTTAAATGGCCGACCAGACAACCAGACGCTTAGCATATTAGGCTTTTATTATACAGGATGGGAAAAGCACAGAGAGGTTAGGGAAGTTACTCAAGGTCACACAGCAATTAGACTTGGAGACACCACACGTCCCAGATCTGAAAATTCCATTTCTTTTCTTCCTGGTCCTGTGGCCTCATGCCTCTCTCCTCAGCTGCCCCTGGGGAAGATAGGGCGGGGCTTTGGCAGCAAAGAGCCCGATTTCCATGATGACTACGGCTCCCTCCACAACGAAGACTGCGGGGACGAGGACCTCGAGGGCCGGCCAGAGCAGTGCCGCCTGGAGGGCTACAATGGCCTGGAGGTCACCAACGTGTGAGGAGCCGATGCTTGATGCTCGGCCAGACCCAACATGGGAGTCACCTGGAGGAAGAGGAGCCGGACACCATCGCCCCTGTACATAGTGCCCGCGGCTGAGGAGGCGCCTCGGTCCCGGGGAAATCCCCGCAGACGCCACAGCTTCAGATGGGAGCACAGGAAGCCAGGAGGCGCCCACCAGGGACATCCCGCTCAGCGGAAGGGCACTGGCCCCAGGACCTGTCATATGCCAGCCCCTCCACCACCCAGGCCCCACCCCAGAGTGACTGTCAGTGCTGTCCTAGCTGCCAAGGCGGAAAGGGGCCCCGACGCCCCATCCGGGAGGAGCAGGTGGGCTCCACGCAGACATGTGAGCCCCACAGGCAAAGCCCAACGTTGACCCGTCAGCAGGTGACCCTCCAGCCAGCGAGGCGGCAGGAAAGGCTGCCCACGGCCCAGACGCCACATGGCAGGAGGGCGCGGCCCAGCATCCTCGCCCCCGTGACTGAGAGCCTGGGTCCCCTGTGGGGTTGCTGAGCCCCTCTTGGGAGCAAGCGGAACGGGGGAGTCATTGTCTCTGCCCCGAAAGCCCCGGTCACGGGGAGTGGACGTGTGGGAGTAATTGCTCGTCCTCCCAGGAGCAGCTCCCCGGGTGGGCGCAGGTGGATGGTCCGTGTGGGGCGGGGCTTGGCAATGACAGTCCCAGGAAATGCAGCCTCCTGTCATCGGGCCAAGGGCAGGTGAGGGCAGGCTCAGGGATGATGGAGGGAGGCCCGGGACAACTGTGCCCCATGTGGCAGCGGATCCGGGATCGGGGCAGGGAGTGCACATTGCTACCCCCACAAACCTTTGTCGCTGTGATGGCTGTCGCCTGCACAGAGGGATCCTGGCTGAGATGAGCCCCACAGAGCCAGGCCGATGGGATGGCGGAGGGAGCCGCGGGCCTCTGCCTGACTCGCACTGTGTGCTGTGCGGCTTCTCCCGGCATCTCGCCTCTCTGCGCCTCAGCATCCTCCTTTAACGCTGCTTCCAGCCAGGGGGGTGTGAGGACTAACACTTGCTAACGTCTGTAACGCACTCTGTAGCCTCTCGGGAGGCAGGTGGGAGTCGGGGGTCTAATCCCCCATTTACTACACAACACGGACATGGACCTGCCCCTCTAACTCGGTTATTTTGGAAACAACGTGCAAAAGGAGCACAAGACATGTGGGATATTTCGACCCTTTAGCACTCCTGATAGGGCTTGAGCGGGGAGAGGGAGGGAGGGAGGGAGAGAGAGAGAGACAGAGAGAGAGAGAGAGAGACCCCATAGGCACAGCCCTTGGAAACCAGTTCGATTCCAGGGATCGGCTGGGCTTCCTGGACCCCGACGCTGAGTGACGATCTGGGAAGGACAAAACGAGCATTCCACTGACACTCGGTTATGGAAGCGGGTCATCTGTTGGAACCACGATGCCCCACTTCCGTTGAAGCCATGTGCCCGAGAGCCCAGGAGGACAGGGTGTGAATTCCCAACACTTGAGTCCGCCTCGAAGACCTCTCCAACCCAGGGTGGGCGACACAGACCGAGCCCCGAGGAACTGGGGGGTCCCTCCGCGAGCCAGACCGCGCGTCTCCCCCACCGTGATACGAGCACAGCCTCCCTCCCCCGGGGCCAGGTGCCTGGTGGGTGGGCAGGGAGACGCCCCCTCTTGTCCGATGTTTGACCTCCTCGGGACACAGTTCTGATTCCGGGGCCTGAGGCGTGGGACCTGCCCTGGCTTCGCTGCGGGTCCAGACCCCAGTGTCTCTGTGACACTCAGCCACACGCGGGCCGGAGCTGCAGAGCCCGCAGCCGGGGCAGGAGACCAGACGCCCAGCCACGCTGGTGCCCGGTCACTCCTGAGCCAGCCTCAGCCTGGGGGGCGGCACCCCAGGACCTGCCTCCGGGGGCAGCAAAGCAGGAGGCCAGTGGTCCCCGCAGGGTGGGCGGAAGGGCAGGGTGGGCGAAGGCAGACCTGCTTACCTGAAATGAACGTGACTTGTCAGGAATGAAGCTCGCCTTGTCCCCGGCGCACCCCTTTTGCGGACAAGTTGAGCGAGCAGCGGCTTGGGGGTCACCAGCAGGGGTGGCGTTAGTCCGAAAGGCCTGGGGCCACGTGGGCCACTGCACACCCACCTTTTGGCCCAAAGATGCCCTGACCACACACTCACTCCTCACCAGGTGCATGCTAGGAGCTAGATTTTCAACACAAGAACAGGTTGACTGATAAACAAGCCCCACAGAGTCCCGTCAGGTGGGCCTTGTCTGCAGGAAAATCCTAGTGTCAATCTGCTTGTGGGTGGGGGGTGGGCAAGGGGCGCAGACGGACTCGGCAGGAAGACCTGATGGTGGACTGACAAGGGCTGGCTGAGCGGCCACCTGCACACACTGTCCTGCACGTCCTGCCCAAACCGCCCGGGCGGTGGTCTTGGTCCTTGAAGGGTCACCTGGCATCGGGACGCGGAACAATACCGTGCACTTCTCTGGGAGGTGCCGCCCCTGCCTGCAGTGCTCCCCCCTGGACAGGGGTGGTTGGTGCCAGAGGCGGGAGCACCAGGGTGGGCAGAGGGACCCGTGTTCCTCCCGGAGGCTGGGCCAGAGCCACCAGGAGGCACCTGGTTGGCACTCAGCTTTCTGACCCAGGTGCCCCTGAGCGACCCCTGTGTCCTGGGCTGAGCAGAGCCGTTCTCTGCTGTCACCATCGCTGTCACCAGGCCCCAGGCTGCAGGGGGGCAGGGAGAGGCCACATGAGACCCTCGCCTGATGAAGTGCGGGGGGGAGGGGTCCTTACACAGCCAGCGTGGAGGGGCCTCAGAATAATGCCCCCCAATCCTGAGCTCATTGACCCGGGCTGGGGCCGGCAGCGTGGGGTGATGTGGGCAAGAACAGGCCTGAGTGCTCCCCACAGGGCCCCC